AAGCTCTTCCGACATTTTTATTATCAATTAATTTCCTCTCAAAGTCAAACAAAATGCAGATGAAAAAATTGAGCTTTGCCCATTAACTATTGTTATTTCTCCTACAATCATTCTAATCCTCAGGCTAATGTTTCCTCTAATCTTCTCTAACATCGTTAGCTAATTGATAACACTAATAATACCCACCTGAGAATGACAAACAACAATTGGGCTGCTGAAATTCTTATTCTTGACAAATCCCAAATGACAAAAACTCTGCAAAAGAAAAAACAAGAACAACCCCAATACTTTAAGAAGGGAAGATATATGTATATGTACTTTGGAATTGAACAAGAGAGACAAAGAGAACTTACGGAGTTTAGATAAGAAGAAGAAAACATTGGAGCAACATAAGTTAAGCATGTCATGGATTCCTACAAACAACGTTTGCTTGATTGGCTTTTTGTTTGTTTTCTCGTTACTCTTCTGCGTGCTTGTGCTTTGAGTGTTTGTTTTTGTTTTTTATTTTTTAAAATGTGAATGTTCGAATCTATTCTGCTGCGTCTTTTGCTGGACCAAATACCAATAATGGGCCCAACCCATAATTGATAGCTAGCCCAAACATATTGGGCTAGGTTCATATGAACCACAGATGGGCCTTTCTATGGATCCGGATTAGCAAACATTCCCAATTCTCTCTCTCTCTCTCGACAATTGAACACAAATCCGAGTTAACTAGCAAAATGAACTAATGGAAGTAGTAACATGTTATTATTTCATCGGGGGAAATTAATAAACTACACTATTATTGTTATTGTTGTTATTATTATTTGTAGTGTTAATAGGCCATAGGTATATTCCCTGTTGGTTTGGATGGTTTAAAAGTTATCTCATTAGTTTGAAATTTTAACTTTGAACAATCCTTCCCTTTATCTGTTCTTGGCTAAGGAATTTATTTGAAACAACTTTTTGAAGGAAAGACAGGAAAGTTATCTCTTTTTAACTTTGGCCTTTCCACTCATTCTATAAGTTCCAATTTCCTATCTATGTTTTTTTTTTTTTTCCATCTTTTATTCATTGGATTAGCTAAATGAGTTGGCTTGTGGGATCCAACACAAAAAAAGTGAGCTTGACTTTGGCATGTGTTTTGCATTTAATGTTGTTTGGATTGAATGTATAAAACTATATATCTTCCTCTCGGATGCCAATGTTGCCACGTCCATTCCATTTATTCACATATGTTGCATTGCCCTTCCCTCCTTTCAATCATATCATTGGGACTGTTCCCCACTATAATCAATAGCCCACTAAAGATATTCCACCCAACCAAAAAGAAACACTAATAAAATCACTAATATAAATATATATATATATATACACACACTAATTTTCAATAATTACGTTAGGTGGTTACTATTAAATATAAAAATTTAATAACATAGCGTTTAAGATCATATATACTATATATATATTACAGTCATATAACATGTTAAAAAAGTTAGGAGAAAGGTTAAGTCGTTAAGGTGTAACAAGGCGTTCATATACATATAAAATGTAAAGGTTTAAGTATGTATTAAGCCATGTTTGAACATTTCACCTGAGGTTTTTTTTTTTTCATTTAATTTTGTGTATAAAATTTTGTAAAATTTGTATTTTTCTCTCCTAAAATTTTACATCTCTTAATTAATTACTCCATCTCGTTACTCATTAGTTCAGTCACACTCCGCCCATCTTACTAATTTTTTTTTACCCTGCATACAATTATATGTCCTTGCTATTGCTAGCTGTAGCGTGACATATATATTGGTAGGTACCATAAAGGTTTAATTATTGAATGTATGATCAATGGACCATGTTATAATTCTTTCAATAAATCATACAATGCATTGGATAATAATAATCAGGATAATATCTATTCGGCAATTAAATGCCAGATTACGACATGACATATTGATTTTCCTACATATATATATATATATATAGTTGTACATATGGACATGAGAATATTTATATCAAATATAAGTGATTAAACTTAGGTTTGACTAATATGTTTGTGAACATTTCTCTCTCGGTTTTAGGGCACATGCACAGACAGGTCCCAACCTCTGGATATAACACCCAAGAAAAAAATAATAATAACGTTCGACAAGGCTAAACATATACATATATATATATACACACGTTAATATTGTGCATAAATATATATATATATATATATATATATTCACTTTCTAAGGCTAAACAAGGCTGAAAATCACAAACTCCAATGGAATAATATTGTTGCGATCTATAGTCACTATATAGTAGAAAAATTACTTAAATTTTGCTCCCTTTTTTGAACCCTACACCCTGATGTGCGATCGCGAAGAATCAACGATTAAAGAGGGATAACATATGAAGAATCTCTTTCATGCGGCGCCCCCCCC